CCAAACAACTGAATGTTGGATTGAAGATGAAGTAGAACTTGATGGCCCAGGCGTGGTTGAATACGATGCAGGCGATGATACTTACGGCGAAGACCCGTCCCGGATCGGGAGCCCCCAGTGAGTTTATGCAAAGCAAACTGCGATTTACCTACCCGCCATTGTTTCAGCAGCGGATTGATCCGCGGCCAATCAAAACAGGTTTGTATTCCTTCTGCAAAGCTGTCTCCATAACAAATAACTTCTCTGGGGATGTGTCTTGCACCGGAATGATGACCCCTTGATAGAATGATCCCTGTTTGCGCCAAAGTTTGAGGGCCGGTTCATAAAGGGCCAGCGTCTGGTTGTCCAGTTGTCCGTAATTACGCCAACGTGTCTGCTCTCGGTCGAAGACGCGTTTGTCCGTGGCACCAATGTAGCACGATGATGAGGACTGATGTACTCTCATGTACACTACAGTGCTCTGACTATACCATGTATAGTCCAATTGTGCTGGGACGCGTAGTTGCTGAAATATGTGAAACAGTCTGCGCCTTGCATGCGTGAAATGTAACATCAGCAGTAATGTGAGATACCAGCGCCCGTATCCATAAGAAAATCTCCTGCTCCTGCCATTTCATTGTAGAAAAAGAACATTGGTAAATATATGTCATCCATTGAAGCCCTATTGACAGCACTTGAAGTGTCTGCAACCGTTGTTTACGTGTCATCACTGGTAACCTAGAAGTCACAAGGCAAAGCATGGTGTGTTGTTTCTTCGAGCCCTGGCAACCTGTCCGGCTGATCTGTTCGAAGTAGTCAGTTTTTGAGAACTTGTACTGCGGCAAGGAGTTTGAGCTGTGATGGGGAAGTCATCTTCGAGCAAAGTCTCATACAACCGGATGTCTGTAAGCTCTCTGCCTGCTAGATTCACTCTGCGGGTGAATTGACTAGATTCAACCTACTCTTTTTGGGCGTCATAATGATGGGAATCACCAACCCACACTGCGTTGATGTTGAAGGGATTTGGCTGTTCACTGCGTCCCTTAGTAGTCGGGCTTCTGGAACGATGATGTCGTCCGGAATGTCGACGTTCTCGCGAGCGTGTCGGTAAAGCAAAACTGTCCCGCTCACGACGATCAAAATTGGTACGTGAACCACGTCGACCACGGCGAATGGATCAAGATCGAGATCGAGAATCAGCCATGTTGAATGCCGCGCAGTAGACTATCAACTAACAGAGCTAAGTTTGATCAAAAAGCTACAAGACATCATTGATCAAATGTTCAACACATGCAAAATGTTGCATCTCTACTGATCTTTCATCAATCTAAACACAATCTCTGCGATAGCCCTCTTTTGATTGCTCACGCAAAGTTACTTCCGACTGCGTTTGGTCGGTCGGTCCGGTTTATCGGGGCGAATGAGTTCCCAACGGTTCTTAGCGTCAAGGGTGGAGCAGCCAAGACGTTTGGCCACTGTGTTCGTTGAACCAGATCCTGCTTAATGGAATTCAAAAGTGAATCTTACTCTGTTGTCCAAAAATGTCCTAAGTGTGTGGACGGAAGAGCGCCCGGATCTGGTGCACTAGGCTGAGAGTCTCGCAATCGGTCCGGTGATGCTTCCACCTACCTGTGGAACAGGATTCGGTTGTGAACTCTGACTGGTCCAGCAGGTTCCTGCGATGGTTCCGTCGTCAAAGGGCTGTTCCGCCTCAGTAAGCGTTTGTCCTGGCAGTGGCAAAGAGAACCTGCAATGCATGGTAGGCTTGAAGCATCTGATGTAGGACGTCGTGAATCAATGGGTCCATGGTCGTCTGAGGTTGGGACACTTCACCCGGTAGATTTGCTATGAGCCACACAACGTTACAGGAAGAGAACCTAGAAGAAATTTTTGACGCTAGACAGTTCATCTACCAATAGGCAACCAACTGCGTGAATGAAAAAACACTCATCCGGTCCAAAAATTATGTACTTTTCTTTGCAGCAAGCTCTTATCCTGCGAAAACCACGGGAAACCACTAGCTGGTGCAGCGATTGCCAAAAATATGGGTTTTCAATCAGTGACATTAACAATGCAGTGACGCTACTCTAGCTAGTGTGGAAGGATGTCTGCCACAGCAAACAATTGCAACAGGTGACTCCGAAAGAGCCAGGGCTTGTCATTGGTATTGTGTACTGCATCATAGAATTGGCAGGCGGCCCAATCTGCTGCACAACCCCCCTTGTTTTACTGTAACACGAAGATGCGCAGAGAAGCATGGCCAGAGGTCTACCCGGTTTTTTCCAATTCATGCGAATGTTGGAAGTCTGCGTATTTTGAGCCCTTCTGAAGAACCGAAGGGAGGCATTTCAAAACTGTGGCCTCAGTAAAATTCGAGATGAGTTCTGCTCGACAGTAGTACCCGGGTGACGGTACCCAATCCTTGTCCGTCAGGAAAGAGTTTGGCCTGACAATACCTTCTCGAAGAATCGCTCCAGCTGAGTACAGTGCGCATTGGTGAACCGCAATGAAGCGGCTGCGAACCTGAATAGTAATAAGGCCAGGAACTCTGGCCTGAGTCGGCTGACAGGAAAGTGATCACCGCAATGGGTTTCCCTGAGGTCTCGCGAATCAGTCTGAAGGTATCAAAGCACTGTTCTACATCCTTGTGCAAAAGTCTTGGCTAAAGTGAGACAGGCTTGGTATAAGGCCTCGCGAAACAAAACATCAGCTGGTTCATAGATCTTCTCAAAAAATGTATGAAGCAAGGGGCGACTCTGCTCAGAAAGAGCTGGTTCTAAGCACCATCCCAAGGCTGAGGTATAATACTGGATTGAAGGCACATAGTATTGACCCGATTCAATCACACAACCCAACTCATAGGCGGAGAGCAGCCAGAAGGAGGACTCTGCGAGCTGACGTTTGAGAAGTTGCAATTCATCAAATACATAGTCCCAACCCAATCTGTGGTCTCCCTTGCGATCTAAGGACGCTGCAATAGACTTGAGTCCAACCAATTGCCAACCGTGCGACAACATCACTGCGAAAGCCAGCTATGGGCGATGCCACCCACAGGTTTGGTGACTCAGGCCGGAGCAGGCGCTCAACATACTCAAAGGTGTTGGGGACTTGGCTTTAGCGCCGCCATGTAGAATGATTCATAAACCAACAATTTCGGCGCCGCAACTGAAAAAAACAAACACAAATGAAACCTGCGGAACAAACTGGAGGAGCTAAGATGTTAAGCTTGAGCTCTGGACAAGAAGGACCAAAGTATCATTCACATCTGCTCTACTTCTGCCGCTTTGCAACTGCGCTCGATGGCAGCTTCTGCCGCCTTGCAACTGCGCTTGATTGCAGCTACATACAGTCTGTCCAAAGACAGTGTTTTCTGCCTGCAAGCCTCTAGTCAGCGCCACCTTTGGCGAGCAACATTCTGGTACCTCCAAATGAGGACCACTGCCTTCTCTCGGGAAGGCCCGTGCCAATTATAGAGTCCCACACGGGGTCTCGACGGTGTCGCCAGTTCTGGCACGCACCCTCTACACACTGGGGAAGGAGTCTTGAAGTTGGAACGTTAGGGTGACGACAAAGCCCAGAACCTCCTAAGTGTGTGTCCCTGAAAATTTCGAACACCAAGCAAAGTCGGCGACACCATCGAGCAATGCATTAGCCCTTTACAGTAAGTTAAAAAGTTGAGGCAGGTACGTCAGCAAGCGTCCTTGCTGATATCAGCACAACCTGAAGAGCCTCCTTGTTAGCTGCCCTCTCGTCAGGTGTGGGGCATCCCCCTGCTTTCAACAATTGATAAAAGTCAAATTCGAAGTCACCCCCTACTTTCAACAGTTGAAAAAGGTCAAGTTCGAGGTCATCTCAGCTCTCCAACCGCATGCAAAAGCGGGCTACACACACACCCACCTTGCACGCGAATTCACACTTTTATCCCACCCGCTATCTAGGGTAACAGAAGGAAATGGTACTCGACGCACTTGTGTGTCGGTGCCTTTCCTTCTGTTTCTCCTGTCCTAGTCCTATCTACCCGGGCGGTTGAAGACTAATGTCCCGCTCGCTAACTAGTGCACCTAATTAAGAACCGCCAAGTAGTCAGTGACTAGTTTTTTTGGAAACCTTCTGTTGATCGGACCCCGCATTTCTTGCCGTTCCCTCAAGTCAAGGGCTAAGTATTCAGTAACTAGAGTGCTACTTGTCAGTAACTAGGTTTCGTAACTAGTGGGCCTCGTAACTACACCTATCTTTCTCTCTTGCCCTTTGCGTTTCTCTTTCTGTCTTTTCTTTTCCTTTCTTTCTAAGGCTTTTTAGGTGGTTAGTATTTTTCTCTCGATCGCCGATATCGGCGCTCTGTGTGTGAGTCACACTCTGTCCCGAAGAGTTTTTTGTTAAGTGCAGGGGCGTGTGGCACTCTCGCCCTACCACACACAACGAAGCTGTGGGCGAGAGTGGGAAACAGGGCCTGATCAGCCCTGTGTACCTGCAAGTGACAACACTCTGCTGTTCCCCGCTGTTCCTTGTTTTCATGGTGGTTCTTCACGCTATTTCCCTAAACAGGTTTCCCTACGCAGCGTTCTGCCGCTCGTGAGCAGCCTGACTTACCGCAGATGTGCACAAACAGAGTTTTCAACACTTCAAGTGAGCTGACCTCCTCGCCTTTCCGTTCCCTCACCATTTTCTCGTGGCACTGAGTTAACTGCAAACCCATTGTCTAAGTGTGTGTGTTCCTTTGCACTCAGCACCACTGGGGAAGAGGGTTGATGATACTCGCAGGCGGTCAAAGAGGCATTACATGAATGTGTATATTAAGATGGTGTTGCGTTTGGTTATCTGAACACGCTTAAGCAGCTTTAAACGAGGGAAGGTGCGCCTCAGCGTTTAAACCAGAAACAAATCAATGTTCTTGGCTTACAACATATGTCGAGAACTACGACATGTGCTACGGCTAAGATTATGAATGGTTCAAACTTGGTTTCTTCACCCAAAAGACCTTGGAACATAAAGCATCTCGCAATGGTGGATTTCGACTGGAGGTATGGATGAGGAAATCTGACGCAAAAGTACCGGCGACTTCGTCCTTGAATGCACATGCGCCAGAGTTCACTCCCCAACGTCTTCCAGGAGACTCAGCCTTCCCGGACGGACATGGTGGCCACGACCATTGGACATGGAAGCAAGAACGGTCAGCCTGGGACATGTCTGTGCACAGCCAGTTTCCAGAGGTCGTGCCTGGAGTGCGAGAAGGGGAGTTTCTCGGGTTGCAGTGCATCCTGCCTGCACCAGGTGCATGTTGACAGGACCTGACGGGCATCCTTTGAAGGGGATGTTGCCAAGAAGCTTTTGCTATTGGTGTGATTCTATCCACCCTTTTCTTCACTCTATGTATATACATATATACACGCATATGTGGGCGCGCACAGTGTGCTCACTGATTGGGGGGGGCCCTGCGAGCTTAATTTACCTGCCTAGACTTCAAAACCCAAAGCAATGATTGGAAACTATGCCCAAAATCCGAAAATCAAACAAACAAACAAACGCAATGGGTTGGGACTGGTTTGGGTAACTTTTCTTGGTTGGAAACCCAGATTTGAGCGGTGCTAGTTTTAGCGCTGAAAGCATTTGGTAGTTATCCTTAAGGGATGAATCAATGCGCAATCAAGTAATATATAAACACAGCGCATGTTTATAAACAAGGCCTTTTTGACTTATATAGCCGATCATTTGCAGCATTCCAATCTCAAAGGTACCAGCTCATCCGGTCTTCCGTTCATCAACCTCAGAGATTATAATTCAGGCTCCGAAAGCAAAAACGACGGGCTTTGTGTAATCTTTATATATTATAGATCTAACATATTAATACAGCATATGTTTGATTCGACTAGATGGTGGAACTATGTATTATGTATATGATAGGCGCTTATCAAAATTACAAAATCAGAGATTACTTGTACAGGCTCATCCAATCTTGCGACAGAAGCATATGCAGCCACTGCAATTGCAGACGGAGGCGGTGGAGGTAGTGATAACAATAACAACAACGTTGAACCTCTTTTTTGTTTGCATTTAGAACAAACACAACAACAACTTACACCAAAACAGAAGTGGACGCATCGTCAACTGCAAAAGCACATCAAGCAACAACATTTACAAGACTAATCAGAACTAAAAGCCAACCAAGCAATTACCTGTAGTGAAACTGAGTTGGCACGGCATTAACAGCAAAGCAAATCAAGCTACTTGGTAGAAGTGAAAAAGTAATTACCTATCTCAGTGCACGACCCCTATTGTTGCGCCGTGGCGCAAAATGAGCGTTGTCATTTGCAAAATGTTAAAAGGCACTGTAGCGCCGTGCACATTTTCAAAGATTTGCCTTGAAATTCTACGTTTTGGAAAATTGCAAATGTGTTTGTTTGTTTGTTTTTTGGACGCTAAGTGCAGTCATCCCTTTCATTCTCTCCTTGAGCGGTCCTTCTTTGGAATTTTGCAAGGCTCATTCAGCAATTCTCTTGGCGTACATGGTCCGAGGAATCTTCGCCATGAATATGGGAAAAAGTAGATAGTGTAGCGTAGCCTATATGTATGCGTGTGCACTTAGAAGCGAACGTTGACATCCCAACCCATCCCACCCCACCCCTCTGAAATGTATGCGAGTCTGTACAGTTGTCGCTTCCTTGTCACAGGTGCAACTTGGCGTTGTCATGTTCCTGAAGGCTCAAGAGGGTAAGAATCCCTCAAGAGAGGATCAGGTGTTACCGTTACAAAAGACACTAGTTGCCTATGCCCCTACGGTGTACGTACTAGTCACTCTTTCCGTGGTGGCGGAGCGAGGATCCTGGAAGACGCAGGTGAGTTCCTGTCCTTAGACTAGGTTAGAGCAATGGACTGGATTGATGACTGGGAAGAGCCTGATACTGATTTGGCTTATGAGCCACAAGCGTTTGCCAATAGGCATGTGGGAAGAGAACCAGCAGCAATAGCTATGACAACGCAAGTGACAACGAAGAATAAGAAAGGACGTCTTGGTGTTCCTATGCGGATGCCATTGATGACAAGTGTGGCATCACAGAGCTGGAAGATGAGAAAGGAGGACCAGCATTGAGAAACCGCCTCGAAGGAGAAGCAGCGGTATACAAGAGAATTTTGGACAGAGATGCGTTGAAGGCTAATGAACAGCCAGGAGCTGGAGCGCAGTACTTCAAGAGCCAACTTCGGCCATGCCTCATGAGAAGTGCAACCAACGTGCTCCTCTACAGGATGCACTTCGTGAAGTTCAGTCGTGGATCAGCTGACATGATGAAGCGGGTGACCAGATTCCGAATTTTATTCAAACGGACTGTGCAGTTGGATGGACATCTTGGATCCTGCGAGTCAATCACATCCAGAAGTACAAAGACAAATTGCAGCAGAAATCATTCCGCCTTCAGAGCGTATTTAAGACATCGTCACCCACCCGAACACGAACGCAAGTGATCGAAATATGCATATTCATGAGTTTCCACTGTCAGGGAATCTCGTGGCACTGCTGATGCTCAGTTTAGCAGACCTTTCCCAAGATCAGCGAAGCGCTTTGACTGGTCTTCTGTTGGCAACGCCGGAGGAAGAAGATCCTTTCTAAACCGCTCAAAGTCAGTCGCACTGTGTAACGTAGCGTAGAAGAGTTTCTAATGTATTATAGGTGCGCACGTTGAAACGAACGTTCACATCCCCACACATCCCTCCTCACACCACCCCGCTCAAAGTCAGTCGCGCAAAGTAGCGTAGTATCGAAGAGTTTCTGACGTATGGGTGCGCAATTGGAAATCCCATCCCATCCCACCCCACCCCACTCAAAGTCATATGCATTGTGTAGCGTAGCGTAGAAGAGTATCGAATGTATAGGCGTGCACCTAGACAGCACGCAGTATTCAAGAAGAAACTGTTACAAGAAAATATGTCATATTTCACCATATGCGGGAAGAAACATGAAAATCGGAAGAAAACTTCCCTACGTGCAACATTGCACGACAAAAAACATGAAACTCGGAAGAAAGCCACACGGTGTGGCAAGGGTCGGGGTCCAACTACCTAGATATATCCAAACAAAAGTAACAGTCTTGTTTTGAAAGTCAATGGTGCAGATGTGTATACACAAATTCAAGTAGATACATCATCAGCGTCAGAATCCAAATATAGTTGAAAAACTTAACCTGAACGTGTGATTGTCCTTTGCACTGTTGGCATTTTGGCCTGGGACCATAGGATCCTCGAGCCTTCACCTTTTCGTGCCGCTCGCTTTGGACATGGCGCGATCGTGTTTGCGGTAAGGCTGCCGCATTACCAAGAATAGTAAAAGCCTGCATTCACTGCACGCGTAAGTGTTATATAGCTCAAGTGTAGATGTGTTGGCGGTAGATGCAGTGGGATTCTTTGCAAAGTCTGTGAACACAAGTGCATTCAACGCAACAAACCTTGGACACGCAATGGTAGCGCTGATGGCTGAGGCGCCAAACTTGGCGGACCGGCGGTCGCTGGTGGCAGTGCGATCGATTCAGGAAGTGCTTCATCGGGAACAGCCCAATAGACCGGCTTAGTTAAAAAAATACTTTTTAGATAATTCCTAAAATTTTAACTAAATTATGTTTTAGTTAAATTTTTGGAAAATAGTTAAATATAACTTTTAATTGTTTTCTAAAAATTTAGCTAAAATATGATTTAACTATTTTCTGTAAATTTAACTATTTTCTGTAAATTTAGCTAAAACAAATTTAACTATTTTCTGTAAATTTAGATATGGAAACTTCGAACAAACTTCGAAGTGCCCCCGGTGAAACTTCGAAGCGATATGTTTGGAAATTGAAAGCTTTGTGAGCTCCATGTTTGCGCAACTTTTGTGAGCCCATGTGCAGGGTTGCAGGGTGCTGTCTTGGCTTTGGACACACAGAGTTGCAAGAATATACAAAAGTTGACTTAAAGATCAACCGTTTATAGTGAAGAAAGGGAACACACAATACATCTTTGTTCTTCTGAGACTAGTCAGGCCCTCTCTCTCTCACATGAGAGAAGAGTCTTTGTATAGAGCACTCTCATGGTGGCACTCTCTCACATGGTGGCACTCTCTCATGGTGGCACACTCTCCCAAGGTGGTTTTCACTCATTGTCTCTCAAAGTGGTCAAGTATGAAAGTCTTGCACCGACACTTCCATTGTCACCTGTATGACGCATTTTCAGCGCACGCATGCAAACAGTTTTTCCCGAAAGCATTGCGAAGGGTTCTTCCGGAAAATCCTTTGAACACTGACACTTCGACACTTACACTTAGACACACCCAGACATTGACACTTTCACCACACTTGCAGGATAACATGAACGCTATACGTAGCCCTGTGTAAGTGGAAGAGCGAAAGCTGTCAAAGTATGCAAGTGATGAGTATGCATGCAATGAGTATGCAAGCATGCAATGAGTAGGCAAGTGAACTAGCACGGGAGATGTCCTAATGAAAAAACATTTCCCCACTTTAAAAATTCTCTCTTAAAGGCGGAGGGTGGGACGAACAGCGTCAACCGAAAGTGCAACCCTCTGCGGAGATCGTGCGTGTCGAGTGCGCGAAATGCAGGCGAGAGTGCGATTTGCCGGCTGCCCGCGCAACCCTCTGCGGAGATCGTGCGTGTCGAGTGCGCGAAATGCAGGCGAGAGTGCGATTTGCCGGCTGCCCGCGCAACCCTCTGCGGAGATCGTGCGTGTCGAGGGCGCGAAATGCAGACGAGAGTGCGATTTGGTACGCAACTCTAGTACGCAGAGTAGCTGGGGAGCTGGAAGCTGAGAACTGGCGACGTGGTAGTGCGAGAGTAGTACGCGGAGTAGCTGGGGAGCGGGAAGATGAGAACTGGCGAGCGGGTAGTACAACTTGAGGGCGTGGAGTATCTGGGGAGCTGGGAGATGGGCACTGCGACTTTGTAGTACAACTGTAGTACGCGGAGTAGCTGGGGAGCTGGAAGCTGAGAACTGGTGAGTGGGTAGTAGCTGAGAACTGGCGACTTTGTGGTACAACTTTAGTAGTGCGCGGAGTAGCGGGGGAGCTGGAAGATGAGAAGTGGCGACTTGGTAGTACAACT